CTAGCGTTTTGTACAAGGCTTTAACTGCGACTTACTACTTACCTTTGATTAAGTCGCGATTCTAAATCTTTTGAAAGGAGTATCATTCAATCGGAGCGTGAACAGTAAGGCGAAAGTACGAATGTTGTTTTTCTATTGCCTGCTTTGGATACTTTACTAATGCGTGGTCTTCGACGTTCGCCATCTCATGACGTGGAATCTGTATGGACAGCCAAATTAATCACCCCATGGATGAACTTGTCCTTCTGCCACAATAGTAATAAACGTATATGTTTATATAAAAAAGAGAATGTTGCTTCCCTTCCCCGAAAAATTAACAAAGCTGTAATTTACCAATAATAATTAATGCATGTTCTTGCCTGAATCCGTTCCCTTCTGTTGGATATCATTCTTATCTTCGGTAGGGATATTGAGCAGCATGAAGCCGATCTAAGTTTGGTGTTGAACTGTCCACGAGACACAGGTCTGAAACTGAACCCAAAGCAATGCCAGTTCTTGCAACCTTCAGTCAACTTTCTGGGATATGCTGTCTCACCAGATGGGATGATATTTACTGAAGCCGGTACAAAGCAGGTGAGTACCAGGCCAACAACAACCAATCAAACGTGACCTCGTAGTTCCCTAGGTGTAGAAGGTTACAGTGGGCGCTTAATTAAAGGCTCTGTCAGGATTATAAGCCTTTTTCATAAACTGAATGAAAAGTAGGTAAAAAGGTATTTCAGTTGGAGGGAAGAGCATGATAAATCGTGTAAGGTACTGAGGAGAATGCTCTGCTCTGCACAGATTCTAGCACTATCAGAAAGAAGACATGCCAATTGTCCACCGGTAAAGCAGTTGCACTCTGTATCACTTCCTACGTGACCTTCTGATTATGCGATAATCATTAACATGGGGAATACATGAGAGAATTCTGATGATGCCTCGGCTGCTAGGATCGGGACTTTGACACATATTACATTTAATACATATATGACATTATACTATATATTGTCTTAAAATTATGACCCAAATTTATCAGAACATTTGCTTTTAAAAGTCATTTGTAATACAATAGTGGTTTATCCCTCGGTTCTGGTGAGGCGCCACTTTTGTGCTTTGGATTAGCCCCCTTGTACCTCACTGGGTGGGCTGGCTTTTTGGGCCATGCCAATGGCCCAGACACCTTCTCCGTGCTGAATACATATATTCTCCCCGAGTATTGTGTCTTCTTTCGTCTTCAGGGAGTCTCGGAACGCTACATTGGTGGCATCGGAAAGCGAGCCCGGTCTTAAAATACATGTGTCCTGATTTTCCACTTCTGCGTGATAAGCCTTAGTGGAGCGGAAGAAGTACATATGCTACGGATGGGAGAATGGTGATGACCCCTAATAGAAGGGTTGATGTTGACGTCTACCTTCGGCATCTCTTCCAGTCCCCTCATCTGCTGAAAAGGTATTAGCAACTGAAGCAGCACTAGCCGTGAACTATCTGAAAGTTTCGTGAAGGATTTTCCCTACCGTCCCCCTTAGACCTGTTTTAAATCTTGTACTTCCTTACTCAAATCTGCTTTTAGGCCAGTGTTCCTGCATCTATCTATGGGCACGCATGATGGCCGGCGCAGTTCCCCGTCCTGAATCAAATCCCTAAGCCGGACAAAACCCCAGATCCAGTCAAGCCGCCAAGAGGGATCAGTGACATTGAGGTCAAGTATCCCCTCAGTTGCGCACTAATTTGGTGACTGGCACGGTCGGGTCGTGGGTGTTTCTTTACTGCACCGACTACGCTGTAATGACTGACGCGGAAGGTCGACCTGCCGGAGCGCCGGGGAAGACGCTCAAAAGAGGAGGGAGGCTATGTAATACAATAGTGGTTTATTCCTCGGTTCTGGTAAGGCGCCACTTTTGTACTTTGAATTAGCTCCCTTGTACCTCGCTGGGTGAGCTGGCCTTTTGGGCCATACCAATAGCCCAGACACCTTCTCCGTGCTGAATATATGTATTCTGCCCGCGTGTTGTGTCTTCTTTCGTCTTCAGGGAGTCTCGGGATGCTACGCATTAGTGATCAATTTTTAATTTTGAGTATTTTTGACTGCATTTTATCTGTTATATTATAATTACTTACACTAAAGAATTAAATGGAAATAAGAATCTTGCGAAAGTAAGTCCTTTCAAATGATCGGTTTGTATTTAATTTAGGTGGGCAATCACATTTCCCACGCTCAGTGGACCGCTTGTAGGACCTGAAAGAGCAGTGGGCCGCTCGATGCGTTACAGGGTGTCACCTACAGACTAGTCGAACTCGACAAGGCAGGAAACGATTTTCACATGACAACAGGATTTCATCAACGGGCCTTGGTTTTATCTTACTACGCTTGTTTCCTCGGAATACCATGTATGAAATCGCTTTGAGTTTGAGCAGTTTATATGTAGGATCACTTATTTGGGAATGTGCTAGCAGTTAGGCGTCATTGCTGTTTGCAAATCACTGCAGTATCTTCCCTATGAAGGTGACTACATTTGATAAATGACTTTTGATTCGTTTAATTCTAGAGCACTAAATTCGTATAGTATATGTACAAAAACTTGACTGGAATTATCTATTCACATTAACACTTTACTTCAAGGCAAGACAAAGTTTGGTCAGCTAAAATCAAATATAATTTTACTGGTAAGTTTTGCTTTTATTTCAAATCCCTACTTCAGAGGATTTCTTAGAAGTAACCAGAGCAAAATCCTAAGTATTCACTTTCAGCGTTTGATCTGCCTTTTACAAGTTTGCTACAAATAAAGTCAACATCATTACCCAAGAATTTTGACTATTTTTACATTTGGTGCTATGTGACGAACACCTAAGACAACCTTTGAATGAAGAGTTGGGAA